GTTTTTTTTTTCATGTATTTAGCTAAATGTGTTCTTTTTTAAGATGTGTAAATTAACCAATATTTATACAACTTGTTTCTCCAAACCAACATTTTCTACTGAGTAAATACACCTGGGCTTTTGCTTGCTGGAATTATGATAAATGTGCAGTTGTTTTTATACAAAAATTTGTATAAACACAGAAAGTATGTTTCAAGGACTTGTTAAACAGAAGTCTTGTTTCACAACTGTTTACAATATTTCAAGTTGGTTTAAAGATTTAAACTCATTCCTTGAAACTCTTTCTGAATTTACTGTACTTTTTGATGTTTTTAACATTGTTAAAAATAAAATTAACATGAAAAGACTTTAAAACAAAAATGCCAAAATTATCTTTTCTACATTATTTAAATATTTGTTATTTCCTCAAGCAAAAAAATTTAAACACACAGAGCTTGGTACTTGGTTAGTTCCAGGAACAGATTCAAGAGTGTGTCTGTAAGCTTGTAACGTCCTACACAATCAATCTAAATATACATCTTGAATAAACTAAATATAAGATTACAACTAAATATATAGAATTTGTATAAACTAAATAAAGATTATATGAATGTAACTGAAAGTAAGATATTAGTTTAAAAGCCAAATTTGGAGACTTGGTGATTCTGGAAAAGTTATGTTGTCAAAACTTGTGGTAAAAGAAAAGAGAAAAGAATATCACAAAGTACAGTATGTAAAGTATGTTTGATATATGTATTCTGTGGCAATTTATATTATTATTATTTTATATATTATTCATCAAATATCTTTAGACTGATCTAAGAAATTTATTTAAATATCAATATAGTTTATATTGTAGCCTTGTATTTCTTGTCAAACACTGCAAAATGCTGCAATAAAATATTATTACAGTTTTTTAAACTGACTAGAATGTGTTTGTTTTCGATTTGTTTTGCATTTTCCTGTATAAAAATAAAACTTGGCAATACATGTACATGGGATGGGTATCTCATGAAGTCCTTTGTTTGACTGTGTCCGAATTTTAATTGTATTTTATTTGCATATACTGTCCTTATTGAATTTTCCAGCCATTTTAAACATGAATAACATTAACCTTTGACCTGGCTGAATATCTTAAATGCAGCTTTAAATTTGGAGCAGTCCATTTCCAAAAAAATTTAAGAAGATTTCAAATTTACCAAAAATGCAGATTGAATTTACATATTAAGAAACTGTGTTACCTTAGCCTGTCTCTATACTGGTGGTAAAATTTGGTTTAGCTGGGCCTCATACAAAACAAACACCCCAATTAATTTTTGCTAGTATAATATTTATGCCCTTAAGAAATAAGTATATCACAAAAATGTGATTTATTCGCTCAATATAACATCACGGTTTAAGTTGGATGTTGAGGGGATTATATCACGAGGGCGTAAGCCCGTTCGTTGAATAAAATTGATGCGGCATAACCCGAAACAACAAGTGATGTTATTAAAAAAACACTGATTTTGATATATTATTTCAATTCTAACTCCGCATCAACAAATAAATCCTGTTGTACCTGATATTAAGCAAAATTGTGCCTGATTTGTTTCCGTACTTATTGTCAGCGCGTTGGATTTTTTAGTGGTTACGTCACATGTATTATGATTACGTCACATGTCTAAATATAGAACGTCAAACAGTGATTTTTTAGCATAATAACACACACTTTCAGTTCTTCTATGTTCAATAGGGAAAAATGGGGGTCGTGTTAGAATATGGAATAATGCACATAAGGCACCAAAGGTCTTCCTGCACCAGTAAAGCTGGAAAGCCGCCATATGGCCTTTACTGTATTGGTGTGACTTAAACCACACACACACCCACACCCACCCTATACTCATCAACTGACTTCACAACATGCATGCTGTAGAACTCGGCAGCTAATTACAGTGTCCTATTTCGTTAGTAACACACGATAATAGTCGCCTCAAAAGGCTGAAATTTAGTACTAAATTTCACATGTCTTAAATTTTGCTAGTCTTTCAAACGATAATTAGCGCCCTTCAAAGCAATATTTATCTCCTGAGGAACACAACATACGAAATTTAAGACTTGCAAAATTTAGTACTAAATTTTGCCCTTCTGAGGCAATAATTATTGCGTGCTACTATATAGCGAAATTTTGTGGACGAAATAGGACACTGTAGCTAATGCTAAGGTTCTGCAGGTCAGTTAGACATGTTCATAATTTTAGAAATTGTCTACTTTGAGTGTGACCTGTCTATTCAAGAAAACAAGTGACTTCAGACATGATCACAAAATAACTAGTACTTGGGCAAGGTGCTCATTGGAAGAATGTATATGTAGTAGAGCAGAATAATTCAATTTTAAGAGGTCTTTTGAAAATGAAAACTGATGGTTGAAGTGATTACAGATTTGAAATCTATGTGAATACTGATGGCTGAAAATAACAAAGGGCAATAACTGAAAAATAATGCAGGGTAGGTTATCATTCTTGTGTGCTGCACTCCTCCTCAATGAGATCTATTCACCTATGAAGTTTTAAGTTGATACCTCTAGCACTTTTTGAGATACCTCCGGATAAAAGGTATGAAAAATAACAAAGGGCGATAACTCAAAAATTGTAAAGGGTAGAGTTATCATTCTTACGCACAGCATTCCTCCTTAATAAGATGAATCCACCTATGAAGTTTCATGTTGACATCTCAAAGACTTTTTGAGTTATGCTCTGGACAAAAATTAAGTTTGTAAAATAACAAAGGGCAAAAACTGAAAAATTATGCAGGGTAGTTATTATTCTTATGCACTGCACTCCTCCTCAATATTATCTTACCACCTATGAAGTTTCAAGTTGATACTTCAAATACATTTTGAGATAATGCTCTTGACAAAAATGTGTGACTTTAGGACCGACGGAAGGATGGACGGACGGAGACTATTACTACATGTATAAAAGGTGGCGGGGGATAACAAGCACTTTCACAGTAGTTCCTACTTTATACCATACTGGTTATGAATTGGAGCTTTTCTTCAATACCTACACAGATATATAGTGGTGGTCGTGTTGGTAGTTTTCAGTCCGGATCACAGCTGTAAGTCACATTGAATTTACCAGAGTACAATTCAGCCACCGCACTGTCCTGGGCAGACTGTCAAACAGTTTACCAGTACTAGTTGACTTCATCTTCACAACAAACTGATAACTGCTGTACAGAGCAGAGGTACAGTGCGAATGACTGTGATCAAACACAATGTAAGTGACCTGCACTATCTAGGAATCAAACATGGGTTGCCACATTCACAGTCCAAAGCTCTACCTTAATTATGCTACACAATAGGTACAGACTGATACATGTATCTAACATTTGTTCCTTTATAGTGCCACATCCCAAGGTTTGTTTTATTAAAATTTAATAACTGATGTTTTCAATATAAATGTTATTAAATGTACAAATTAAATCTTCAAGACTTTAAATATATATATATATTTATATGCAGAAATCACTTGTAAAAATGGGGAGAAATTTCTTTTATTGGCAGAATTTTGGTGATTAAAGTAAATTCTGTTATATTTTGCATTATGCAATTAAAGTTTAAGTAGAATTGCGAATATATATATATAATGATTGTTTACCTTTTAATAAGTTTAATTTTACTCATCTTGAGATTGGTCATTTTAAGCCTTTTTGTTTTAATAATTGTAAGTACTGTAAGCTTGTGTGTGTGAATAGGACTTTAATTTTACTAGTCAGAAGACTTTTCACTCCAGATCATGGCAATAAGCCACATTGAATTTACCAGAACACAGTTCAGCCATGGCATCAGAAGACTTTTTCTCTGTCCAATGTTATAAAGAAATTCTCTAAGCTCAAAATCCAATCTTGGGTTTTTGATTGGTTAGAATTCACTACAGATTGTACACTGATGTTGACCTATTAAATTTAAACTAGAAATGTGTCCATAGGACACGGGTGCCCCCACACTCCACTGTTTTGTCAATCTTATGACTTTAGGTCAAATATTTTTAGGCTACATGTGCCACAAGTTGAAAACTAAAAATCGTTTACTAAGTCAAGGGCAAGAACTTTACAAATACTGAATAAATCCACAAGCAAACCCCAAGGTGCATAAGTACATGGCTGACCAACATTCTTGTAAACTTTCAGACCTACAGGTCAAATATTTTTTGAGTTATGCATGAACAAGTTGAAAATTGCAATTTATACTAAGTTAAGGGCAATAACTCTAACAGAACTGAAAAAAAACCCAGGTGCATAGTTTCACAATGATGTTGATCATTATTCCTGTAAAGTTGGTTGATTCTAACTCAAGCACTCGAGGAACAAATAACACAACATAATGGAACGGTTTTCACTAAGTCAAGGGCAATAAATCTGACAAAACAAAATAAATCCACAAGTGAAACCCCAGGTGCACATCCTGTAAAGTTTCATGACACTAGATCAAATACTTTTTCAGTTACGTGCAACACAAGTTGAAAATCATAAATTTTTACTAAGTCAAGGGCAATAAGTCTAAAAATGCTAAATATATCCACATGAAAATACCAGATGCACAACAACACATGCTGATCAACATTTCTATAAAGTTTCATGACTCTAGGTCAAATACTTTTTGAGCTACATGCGACACAAAAGAGAACGGATGGAAGGACGGATGGAAGTTCTAACAGAAGAGTAATAATGTGGCTACGCTATTGTTCTTTTTAGCCACACAAAAGAAAATAGCCACATAAAAGCATTACGGAATGAATGACATCAAAGAGAAAGAACAGTTACCTATTGTCCCTCTAGCCACATAATTACTGTCCTGTGAGTGCGGCCGGACGGACAAGGATAAATCTAAATGCCCCCCATTAAATGGGGGCATAAAAATGTTTATAACCTTGTGGTAAGAACTGGTGGTGGGTGCATCAGGACTTCATAGTATGGGCTTAAGGCACAGACTGTTTTGCTAGTACACTGAATATAAATGAAAAGAATAACACAAAAACATTGAGTAAGACTGTTTTATTGGAAAAATAGTAATTGAAGTTGTAATATAATAATTTTAAAATCCTACTGCATGGATAACATTAAATAAATAGTAAAAATCTTTTTGTCTACATATTAAAGCATTGATGAAAACAATCATTCATACAATAATGTTGCTGGAAAGTAAGTTTGTGTGACAGTTTGAATTTTTTTCATATACAGAGTTGCTTTATTACAACAAGAAACGAGTTCAGTACCTGAATTATATGTAAAACTCTTTCTAACAATAATTACCGAAATGATAAACAAATACGTTGTTCAAAACAACAACTTTCTTATCAATTAATATGTATGAGACTTACCATCTAAGGTTCTTTTTCATGACTGTATTGTATTTCCCCGTATTTCCCCGATTATAGACGGAGTAAACAAAAAAACAATCTTGAACGATGAAATATCCAAAAATCTAAAATTACGCCAAACTTAAAAAAAATTCAACTAACATAAAATATATATAATTTAAAATTATAAAACAATGCAACTACTAAAATAGAGTTTAAATAGAGTTAATTAAAAAAGCCTTGAAAAAAGAAAATAACACATAAAATAATATACGATGTTGGCAAAAATTAAGTTAAATGTCCTACCTATAATAATCAATGAAATAATAATGATATATGATAACATTATAGAAACAAAAAGCATACCTTTAATAGTTTCTACTAACAGAATCAATGAAATATTAAACAAACAAAATATATATAATATATATGTATCACAGAAATCAGCTTCTTTATGCCTTCTAAATCTCAAAAGCAACAAAAAACACAAAGGACCTACTTTTGGACGGAGCAAAATAATACACAGCATCAACTTTTGGAACTATTTTCTAAATAATGTAAGTAATTTGGCCGCAGTTGCAGTTAACACCAATAAGAAGCACTAATATATTCAAAACTCACAACATATAGGCCATTCAAATTGTAATACTTTATTGGTCATCAAAAATAAATAAATAAGACCAAATAGCCCTATTAAACATGAATGTAAGTATCACAGAGTTGAAAATAGAATTTAAATTATTTCAAAAAGTTGTTATTCAAGCTTATGATATTTCAAGCATTTTGTTTTTTATTTTGTTTTGCCACTTTGCCTCCTCACTACAAAATCTCTTTACCCTAGATTCTAGGTGACATTTAAAATTTTGTTTCATCGAAAGTTGAAATTACCTTATTTTATATAAATTATAATTAATATACACAAAATTATAAAGAACTTTACATTCGTACATGGTACTATGCTTTAACATTTCCTTTTATTTTGTGTAATTTTGATTCAATAAATGGTACATAATGCTTTTCTTGTTTCTTACTATTTAAAAATAGGGTATTGCATAGATTTTTTTTGTTTACATATCTAATTCTATATGAAATGAGTCTTAATATACATTACAAATTTTAATTTATATACATGTAGACATCTTAAACTGCAGCAGAATTGTCAATTTGTAAACAACAAACAAAACAAAAAGAAACTGTCATGACACTAAATTCAAACATTTTTGCAACAAATCAATATGCTTTTGTAATTCAACAGTTAAATTACAAGAAATATCTTTTATAAAAAGAAAAACAACAACAACACAACAACAAACTTTCATTTTTTCATTGACAAGCAGAGGTACTGACAAGTTCAACATTACCTTTCTGTTAACACATAAAAAAACAGGGTCTATCAGAAATTATATTTTGAGAGAAGAAAATTTTTGCTGGATGTTGAATACCTTTCTAGTTATACCTTATTGTAGTGTTTAACCCTTGACCTTTGAATAAATCAAGGTCATAACTATTTAAGAAGCATGACCTTTGAGAAAGGTCACATTGAATTGTAATATGGTAACGTTTCCATGTAAATAAATAAGTAAACATAGAATGTACTTGTAAAAATACAAACAATTAACAAAATTCTACAGCAAAGAAAAAATAAATCTGAATACACAGAATAAATGCACAAATCCTGGTCTATGTGAAATTATCTCTACATGATGGTCTCCCCTGGTAACATGACCTTGACCTGTGTAACCTTTTTATCACTGACACATTCATTATGATTTTAAAAATTATCAAATTTAGGTTAATTAAATTTTTTCTAAACATTTAAATAAAGTGCATATGGCTTCACATTCCATTAAAGGTAAATTATTGTGATGTTTGTAAAATAAAAATCTAAACAAAACAATTTTTTTCATTGCATGTGCTGTTATACAATACAGTGGCAAAAAGCTTTTTCTCCATTTCAATATCTTGTGCTTTAGTAAAGCCAAAAACTGATACAGATATATGTTCAAACAGAGGATAAAGTAAAAACATCATCCAAACATTCATTTTGTGAAACAGTGAATTTAAATCCTTAATATCTCCATGTTAAAGCAAAATAAATTTGCTACACCATGATGAAAATAAGAATATTTTTGTGACTAGTGAAATCCCCATATTTCTGAGCAATAAATCTGCTGCAGTGGTACACTGAAATTTCAATTCTCATAAGTGGGTGATTAAATTTTGTGGATTTTGTTTTTATCTTTTGGTACAAAATCAAATCAAATGGTAAGTAGAAATCCTATTCTTAGTTTTTCAAAGTAAATGATGGAATAAATATGTCAATTTCTATGTAATAGTTCAATTATAGACAAAATCCACGAAATTTAATACCCACATTTTAATATTTTTTTACAGTTTTTTTAACATGAGTCTATTTATGTACATGTCTTTGTTGTCATGGTTACCAGGTTGAGAACAATGGAGGGCGTGGCATGGGTGGGTTGAAACTAACATGATGTTGTGACTGTAACTGTTCCATCCCCTTCTCAAACCTTCGATGAGGGGTCTGAAAGGGGTTAGGTGGCTCAGATGTCATACCAGGTTCCTGGAAAATAAATAATACAACCAATAAAATATAATTATTTATATGATTTAAACTGAGATTTTGATTGATCACAATTAAATTATATACAAAGAGAAATTTAAAATATCATAAGCAGTTTTACCTCTAATATGATGTTTCTAATATCATGTTTTAAATTAAATTCACATACAGGACAACTATTGAGGAAATATTTAATAGTAAAGATATAAAGTTTTGTGAATTTTAAACAAATAAAACTTTTACATTTATAAGAATCTATTCTTTGAAACATACACTAAATTAACGCCTAACCTGCCATATGTGTGAAAGTAAATGTTCATTCAAATGTTATACGTTTATAATATAAAATTACAAAAACTGAGCTAACTACCAACAGTATAGAGCCTGGCCCTATAGGAAGTGCAGGCTGGCCTGGCTCTCTATACTTGTGGCAAAGGTTTAAATCTCTTTTAGTTACAGCAGGGTAAGAGTTAACTGTCATAAGTCATCAAAAAATTTGTTCACCAATGGCAATTTATGTCAATAAAAAGAATAAAACAAGAAGTAAATACTTTATTTTTATATTTTCATAATTTTATATGAACAAAAAAAATCACATAATTATGTAAAAATAATTTCACCCTTGCAGGATTACGTTAGTATGCACAACACTGATGCTACACAAATAACTGACACTAAAGTTGTTATAATTAAACCCATGCTTTTAACTTTTGGACTATAGCTGCATTCCCTAAAAGAACAAAAGGGCCACATGGTTAGAAATGGAAAGGAAAGGGTTGAAGCATAATTAAAGCTTATAGAATGGCAGAAAAAAATGTACATGATAAGAAAATGAGCTAAAAGATGAAAAACACACAGCAAATTTTATTTTGACTAAATGTGTTGGCAAGCACACCATTTCTTAACTGTAAATACATGTAGACTTAATTGAACACACAATTTTGGTTCCATAATCTTTTTAAACTGATAATTAAATTATAAAGAAAAAAAAATTTCAAATGGTTAAAAGAATATTTCTCTTCAGCAATTTTACAAATGTTCAGGTTTTTAGTGTTTTAGATTTCTGTTAAACATTGTTTTACATAAAGTGTAACTATAACCTAGGGGCTGGTTGTAATCAGTTTGTCTCTTCAACTAATTTACTTTGGTAAGGGAAGGAATAACAGCCAAAAGGGATAAAGATCAAGGGGTATCAAAAGTAAAGGATCTTTCCCAAGATGTTGTAAGTTAATTTATTGTAAACAATATCAACAGCTTGAGATTGACTTCAATAAAATTTTATACACTATATAAATGGCATAAAATTTAATGTAAAAATCTTTTTAAAAATCTGATAACTTATCATAAATGCTAAAATCAATCTGTCAGAAGAATTTATTTTTTCAGTGTAAAAACTAAAAAAGGAGCCTTAAAATTAAAGTACAAAACTAAACAAAGAGCCCTATCCACCTATCTACAAATTCTACACAATTTTATGTAACAAGTATGATTTAATAAGCTTGCTACTTTACTATGAACACGCTTATATAATGGCCCTATCCCCCTTACAATTTTACTCGAGCCCTGATTTTATTATGAAGGAATCTAACAATAAATACTCTAATACTCCTTGTGTCTCTTCTTCTCACTTAAAAGTTAACAAAGACCACTACCTCACGTGCTAAAAAGCCCCACACAAATTTTGAGCCCTGCGATCCCCAGTGTGCTTAACCTTAACCAGCTGCATTGGTTAAATAGACCTGTAAGATTTTCATATTTGGAGCTACCCATTATCAATTTAGGGGATAACAAAATGAATGATACTCAGACAAATTCAGTATAAAGCATGTTCCGGCTGCAAGGATGTGCAGGCTGGTCTGGCTCTTATAATACTGAAGGCAAATGATTTTCAGTTCTGTTAAAATTCAACACAAATTAACTAGAGCCATATAATCTCCTATGCCTTATAGTGCACCCCTCCTTTTAAATGTTCACACAAATGCACTAACACCACATATAATATGTGCTAAATAATCCACACAAATTTACTATAGCCATATTTCCCCTGCAATAAAGTCCTCACAATGATACCATAGCCCTTTCCCACTTGTATAGAAGTTGTCAAAGTATCACTAGAGCTCTAGCTCCTACACATAGAAGTCCACACAAATATACAACAACCCTATCACATTCTACAAAATTCACAAGAGCCCTATATCGATAGCCCTATATCCCATGCTAAAAAATCCACACAAAATTTTCCTATGGCCATAACTCCTGTGCTAAAATGTTCCACACAAATTTACCATGGTTATTCTGTTATTTCATATCTTACACTGGAAGTTGTGGCGTTCTTAACTGAAATATATGCTACTGATGAAAATTTAAAGAAAAAATACTGTGAAAAAAAAAGAAAATTACAAAAAGCATGCATAGCTGAAAATGTTAAAGAAAAAAAGAAGAAGTGTGCATTTAGTCTTTCTATGGACAAAAAGAAGAAATATCCTTCTGACAAAATTAATGGAAAAATGACAAACATTACTGCTGTATAAATAAGGGCAATAACTCTTTCAAATGTCATTTGTATCATTAATGTACATGTATTCATGAACCAAGGGCAATAACTCTTTCAAAAGCATTTCCTTTGAAACACAAAATATATAATGAGATAGTACATGGTTGGTTAAGGTCATAATTAAAATTACAAAACTTAATATTCTTGACACCCAAGTGTGGTAATTTACAAAACTAATGGCAAAACAAAACGAAGAAGAAACACTTTCACAAAGACAAACAAATATTGCTTTTCCAAAAAACCCAGAGTAGGGGGCAACTGATAAAAAGGTAATAATAAAAAAAATATATGTGAACAAAAATATTGTATTTAAAATGATCAATGATCACATATGGTACTACAACTATAATTTAACCAACAAAATAAAAATCAACCAATCAGAGAATGATAGTGAGAGTGATATAAATAATTGACACAGAAGGTTCTAAGGGACAGCATGTACATGAAAGCAACAATGATATACGTGCAGGCGTGTGTACAAACAACTTGGGTTACATGATTTGGTGCAATGTGAGGAAAAAAAATAAAAATAGATAAAAAAAACAAGACAGAGGAAGGAACAAAAAAAAACATACATGGGTATAAGGTTAGACAACACACCTAAACTATGTTGAAAATCGTACAAATGGTCGCGATTCTGTAAACTCTGAGTACTCTTGCTGTTTAGGAGATAGAAACGGTGTGGGAGGACCGTGACGAATTACCCCAGCCTAGAAACAAACATATCATAACACCCACTGTGAATCGTAAACAACAAAAACAACAACAACACAAAATGCAACTGCAACACAAAAGATAAATATATAAACACTTGATATAGCATAAAATACAGTTAGTTTATCATACAACAGTGCACTGTTTGCTGGTTTTGTAAAATATGTGAAAAAATTTTCGGTCTGAATTTCTAAATTCACAGGGCCGGATTGAATGAACATTTGGAGGGTTCAACATTAATCTGTCATAAGTCAACAGGCATATTCTGCAATCTGCTGATTGGACTTGTTTCTGCTTTGAATTCAATTGCAATATGTCCATTGTTAAAGTAAAATTATTGGTCTAAGCCACATTGAATTTACCAGAGCACTGCACCGTTCCTGGGCAAGCAGTTTACCAGTAGTAGTTGCCTTCACTTTCGCAAGGAACTGAAACTTCTGTACAAGCCAGAGCAGAGGTACAGTGTGAATGACCATAGAAAGGATTTCATGATTAATCACAATGAAAGTGACCTGCTAAGTCTGGGAATCAACCTTTGGTTGCCCGATACACAGTCCTATAGTCCTATTGCGCTGATCGGACGGCTAAGTAAATGGACTTCAAAATCCAACTTCTTAAATCATGCAGGTAAAGGTGTTAAGCCTGGTTGCACAAACCATTGGTACTATAAATCAGGTCATAGGCAAATAAAGTTTGCTTACTTTATTCAGAGAAAAGTCAATTATATATATATCACATAAACAAGGTGCCAGCAGTTGCAGTAAATTTACTGTATTTTATGTTGAACCTGTGTATCACTTCAGACAATGTGTAATACAAACACATTTAAGATGGTAAAACAAAAAAGTTTGGTTAATATAAATCATTCTCTGTACCTTTTGAATTACACAAACATAATTAGCACAAACTTCTATGTCTAATTTACATAAAAAACATAATGTTATATTCTATGTTAAAACAGAGATTATTTTTTATTAGAGCTGGCTTAAAGGATCATCAGATGAATTATATAATTTCTTTAAAAACTCTGTGCTTCAAACTTAAGCCCTGCTTCTTTAAATAATTTTGGAACTTCTTTACAAAAAGAAATAAAAAAAATCTTGTTCTTTTTACGATACAACACAAATTTGTTCAAAGAAAAGGTGGGAAAATGAAGGTTTCTTTTATAGCGGCAGGAGTTTGGAAAAATTTATTCAAACATTTCCAAAAACAATTAAAATTGAAGAAAACACTTAAAAGTGAGGACAAAAAGAAGATCTTTTTCTTAGCAAAAGTCTGAAGATATTCATGAAACAGTAAGGAAACGGTCAACATGGTGGTTAGGGTTGTTAGAACTAGCATGCCCTTTCAGCAAGGGGTAAAAAGCCATCTTTTTGTTTGAATCTTGGATCAACCTTTCATAACAACAAATAATATGTATTAAAAATATTCAAAGCATAGTTACATTCTCCTTTCAATAAAAAATTTTTTTCTGCTCTGTGTATATGCAGTCAAACCTATTATACTTTTAGTTCATTCCTGACTTAAGAACACAATTATATAAAACTTAACCAAATTTTCATTTTTTTGTTTGTAACAAAAAAAAAAACCTGTTCAGAGAATATACCTGTCATTAAAAACCTTCGTGCCAATGTCTTGGTGTCAGTGATTTTCCTGCTTATATAACAGACTCCGGAAAAGGACCTCTTCCCAATTGAATTTTTTTTAAAATCATGCAGTTTTCCCAAAAAATCAGAACTTAAACCTGCTTCTTTCTTCCCGAATTAGCAATTTTAGCAATAATGTTTCCTAAAATCAAGAGGCTAAGGCCTCTTGCCAATTAAGTGAGAAAAATCACTGGGTGTTCATGCACATGATATGAAGTTGAATTTAAATCCAACATTATACTTCTGCATATTTTATTCTAAACTGATATTTCATGGTATTGGTGAGTCTGAATGCAAATTCATCATAAAGCATCTGTATCACATGAATATTAAAGAGCAGATTAATTCTATATGCTAATTTTTTGAGACTTTTTTTCAAAATTGAAACATTCATATGAAAAGGTTGATCCAAAGATTCATGGAAAAGCATTAAGTATTTTTGCTGCATTTTTAAAGAACAAACTGGCACATTTTAAGCAAACATGTTTAATTTACACAATTCATATCCGTTACAATCGTGGCGATGTAGAATTCGTTACCAGATAGGACAGGAAACTATTTTGTCTGGCCTAAAATCCATAAAATATTTTGTCAATGTTAGTACTTATATCTATTTGTAAAATTATCATACTGTATATAGATACGAATGTAGGCATCTAAATACCTCTCAGGATTTGTAATAACTTCTAATAGAATTCATTCTAAATTGTTTTGTTCAGCCAAAATAGAATAATTCTGTGACTATTGTATTTTGTTTTTTATAGCTTTAATTTATATCAAATCTGGCCAAGTAAACCTTTTTAGACATTTTTAATATATTTCACAAATTTCACAAATTGATAATTACATAATAATATTTGCTAAAATAAATTAAAAGTCTCTAACTTTGACATTAAGGAAGTCAAAATAAGATAAATAATGAAATGTGCTCTGCTTAGTTAACACTATAGCCATCTTCCAAATCATGCAGTCTTCTTGTAAAGCAAGAGCAATCCATGCACACAAAATGAATATCATTTCATAACATAATAATAATAACAAAATGTTGGTATATAAACATTTCAAACAAAAAGAGACTTGTTGCAAATAAAATAAGATATAAATTTGTAATTTGTACCCATACTCCAAATAATTTACTATATACTAACATGTTAAACCCATCTACAAAATAATTCCATAGCTTCAAACAAGTCATATTTATTCAAAGAGACAATGATTAGCCATGAATGTTTTTGACATTATAATCTTCAACAAATTTGTCATAGAGACCCTTGTGTCATGCCAAGATTCCAAATTCATATATCTGAGAACCTCAGACACCTAAAACTTCAAGGTAAAAACTTAATAACACCTGTAATAATTATATCTATCACTATAATTATAGCTAATCTACTCAAACGTTCATCATAACATTGTTATAACTTGCTATTTTTTAAGTCCAGAGAGTAATATTAATACCATAGATATATCTATGTCAAAAAATAATGTCAATATCAAAAAGTCATGGCAATGTCACAGATTGATGTCAATGTCATAAATTATGACTGTATCACAGAGTTATGACAATGTTTCATAGTTTATAATGTCAATGTCTCAGAGTTATGTCAATGTCATGTAGGACAATAACCCAGAGTTAAATGAATGTCATAAAAATATGATAATGTCATATAGTTAGGTCAATGTTAAATTGTTATGATGTCACAAAGTTAAGTCAATGTCACAAAGACATGATAATGTCACAAAGTTAAGTCAATGTCACAGAGACATGATAATGTCACAAAGGATATGATAATGTCAATTTGTTAAGTCAATGTCACAAAGATATGGTAATGTCACATAGTTTTGTCAATGTCATGTAATTATAACCGTGTATCATAGAGTTATGACAATGTCATGAAGTTATGTAAATATCAAATTAAACACTTGTACTATATGTTACACCGCTACCTCACAGCAAAAGTACTCAAAGCTTTTCCAGTTATTAAAGCAAACATCTATCTGAATAACATGTTCTTTAATTTATGAATATTTTAGTCCTACAAAAATTAAACTTCCCTTCATTCTTATATTATTAGATTAGAAAAACCTTAAAGATGTTACACTAGTAGTATGTTAAATTTGTCACACCAGGGCATTTAGTATATATTAGATAATTCAAATCGAAAATTTGTTTACATAAAAATGTATCATTAAATCAAGTTATCAATTTTGCAGTATAAAATCAGATCACATTGAATTTAAATTCTCATAAAAAAATAAATATTTAATGTTCTGTGAGACAATATTTGCATCATGCATGTGCCATTGAGTGGTGAGAAGACTGTACATCATAGTTATTCCCCTTGTGTCTGGTTCAATAGATTGCTAATTTCTTGTTAAGTACTAATGCATTCATTTTTCAAATGATTCAAAATCTAAATAATTATATCAGAAATGGTTAAAGTTGTTAAAATATCTGTTATTAAGACTGGCTATTGACTGACTGGAAAAAACAATTCAGTAAAAGTCATTCAATTGTTAAAAAAATATCACAATGATTTTTCCCCCACATTAAAAATTTTGTGTATTGAAAAAAATTATGACAAATATCCTCAAGTGACCTTCCACTATTCAGTAACAAAGTTCAACATTGAATGCAATTAACTTGGCATTCAATAACACGTAACTTGGCGTGCAATAACTTATACCATAACTTGGCATTCAGTAACACAAAACTTGGCATTCAAATAATGTAAGATATTTACATCATGCTATATTTGAGAAACAAGGACATGCATTAAACAAAGGAAATAATATATGACAATATCAGTTTCACCTGTATTTACTTGAAAAGTATATAACCTCGCTAGAAATACAGAATCCCAAACTTAATGCATGTAAATTTTGAAATGAGTTTAAATTCGTTCAAGTTTTTATTGTATTTAATTTTGGAATAACTTTCAATAAATGATCTTTTGTGCATGGAATAAATGCAATTAAAACATGAATGTAATTATGCAGTTCACTGCAAGCCCATTTTAAGACAAAATATAGTTATTTAAAAAGACTTTAAAGATTCTTTTTAGAAATTTTTCCTCTAACTTTTGTAATCATTCTATCCAAAGCTCAGAAAAAAGTTACAAAAACCAGTTTACTTGTTGTTAGTACATTATTCTTACACACAGTAAAATATTTAGTTAAAATGTTAGGTTGACAATGGTTATTTGTATAAGAAACATATTCATATATTAAAACTAACTTCCACCTTCTTTTTGGGACATAATCACTCTTCATGATTTCAAATTTTCAACATATGAAACATACAATGTGATTGGTTAATCTAGCATAATATCAAAATTCTAATATAAAACACATACTGTGATTGGCTAATCGAGCATGATTTACTTATTCAAATATGTAACACATACAGTGATTGACTAAGATTAATTATTTGACAAGAATAGATAAGCAACGTACACTGCGATTGGCTATTGCTCCACTTCCTCTAATGTTACCAGTATTTGCTGTGCCATGGTATTTTCTAAGAGGTGCACTGCCTATTCTTGTTGCTGAACCACCAGCATATGGTTGACCTGAAAAATATCAGACCAAGTTATATGAAGACCATGTTTCACAGCTTTCTTGGCTGACTTGTTAAAGATACTGACTTAAAATCAATTGTAACCAAGGACTGTGGGTTTGAATTCCAATTTTAGTTTCTTCTTATGTGGTTTTACTCAAGTACAACTTCTGCCAGAATTTAAAGACAAAGGGAGATCTGTTGCCCTCCTCCATCAAACAGGTTAAAAATAAGTATCATTCAATCAAGTGACATTAATTTCAATATTTGTTACATTACAATTATACACATTCAAATGATATGCAGTTACCAGAACCTTCCCATGTCATAGGAATTGCTCCACTTGGTGCTATGATGAAGTGTTTTTGCTTGACCTTCTTTTAATACCAAGATAAGATAAATCAAATTCCCTTCTTTTGAAGTATGAAAGTACCCCTAGGAGTAAATGAACATGTTGAAATTAAGCTACAACTGTAGTTGAGTAGTTTTATAAATTCCTTATACCTGGTATGGGGTCTGGCCTTGTAGACTGTACCCTGGACTGTCTGTTTACACTGCTATTATCATTACCATATGTGAAGGGGCGTGGCTGACCAGTATGTGGGTGTGTTTCTTTGCTGGGGCTTGTACCATGAGGATGTTTCTGTGCATTCAATGAGGGCGGAGACTGCTTCTCTCTGAAAACAACAACATTTTAAAACTGAAGAAATACAGATCATAATTGTGTCAGGGTACTGTACATTTAGGTTCTAATTGACCGCAGTACAGTGACTTACTTTTGACTCAAAATTAATATCTTTGGATAATATTCTGTGGAAATTGCATGAAGCTATCACCACCTTTGGTTCAAAATTAACCCTCTGAGGGCATGACTGAAGACATGCCCAGGGTCTGCAATTGACAGTGAAAGCTGCTTTATCTGCCTTAACAAGAGGATTGGCTCTCATTAAGCATAGATTAATGTACATACAAATATTCATCATTTGATTTGGTTTCAGTAAATAATGCTGTATATCATTAAAGGAAACATTTGAATTGCAAAAACTTATATTTATTGAATTATGAATTTTTCAAAGAATAATAGAATTAAGTTTATACGTGTATACAAAATGATTACCTTCTTAAGTAAACAGGTTCTTGTTTTGGTTCGTTCAAGTTAACATTCATTTCTGTTAGCACCTCATCTTGACCTGTAGTTGTTGGTACACCAGTGTCTGGTACTGAAATCAGAATTATGTGAATATAATATTCCTATTTTATTGATGAAATTGTAACCAATTACCCATATTTGTTTCAACTTTTACTCTGTTTGCTGGCTGCTACAGAATTTACCCATGCAACCAGTGCAGACCAAGATCAGCCAGCACATCTGAGCAGTATGATAATGGTGTGAACTGTTCACTATTCAGTCAGTACATATTTTGGAATTTTTCCTAAATATAATGGTCTGGTCCAGATTAAAAGATAGATAAGTTCATTTAAAGGGAAAGACAAGGTTAGAATAAAAACTTGATTTCAGAAAAAGAATACTATAAATAATAAATCTGCAAATTTTCTGCCGCCAAATAATAATATTAAACAAATGATAACAAAATTTAAATCGCTAAATCACCGATGTCTACAAATCAGTAGGCGCGGCCATGTTTGTGTATTGGCCGTATAAAAACAAGTGCGCGTGATGTCATTTCCCCACATCTTTCTAATCTACATGTAGTTGAATCGTAGCGAATTATTTATATAGTAAAGTATTGACCAGACAATTTAATTTTCACAGGAGGTGTAGAGGAGATTTTTTATGGTTCAAAATACGTAACAATATCCAAAAAAAAAATAAAGAAACAAATAAAAAATCAATATCTACCGGTCGCACCACTTCAGGCCAGTGATGCCCGTTACTCCAAACAATGCTATGGTCATTAAAGTCTCATCTTAATGTAATTAAACAATATTTCACCGAGTTAATAAATACACATGTTATTATTTAACAAAGTTTCACAATCAAATAATGCAATTAAAAAAACAAACGCACCAACGAATAATTGGCTGTTAATTATTGAACGGCGATAATTATCATTATTATAAATAATCCTACTAAAACGTGTTCTTAATAGTACATGTAATTAAAGTTTTGCAGTTTGATTCTGACTTTCAAATTAAAAGGTGTGAACATATGTTAGTAGTGATGTACACATTTCAAAAATATAAGCAACTCTTTTGAAAAGTAAATTGTTAACATGTCTGTCAACGTATGATGATGTGTGGTATTTATTTACATCGTATTCGTAGCCTAATATTAACTGCAGGCAAAACATTTTTATTGGCTGCTCAAAAATCTCATTTGCATAATTTATTCACACAATTTTTGGTTCTTACTAATTATGTCTAATACTGTGCATTATCCATTTTAATTGTTCCTAATTTGCACCAAATGTTCGTGTCACACTGTGTACTAACGATTTTTATTGCTCCTTGTATGCCTCTGTGCCGACAGACCTTTTGATCATGCACAATGTTGCCCTGATTGGTTAATCACCCTTGTCAAATATTCTAATGACGAAATAGACATCTTTTTTTTTACGCTTCATCAGTGAACCGAATGACCTTAGGGGAAATTCAGTTCCGCACCTGTTTCATAAAATAGCAACACATTTTTTTCAGTTACCAATAATCATTTTAAATATTAAGTAGATTTATGATTTTTTGTTTTATTGGATTAAATTTACGGTAGTAGAAATGCGTATCTGTGTGGGAAAGGGATTGGGTAAGTAGATAACGTGGAAAAAAGCTATAGGGAACTGGATAAACCCGAGAATATGCGTAATTACAGGGGAATGCCCAATGGGCAACCTGTTGCTGTTGGTACCAGTTTTGACTGGGTGCCTAAATAACCGAACAGACAGTTTTGTTTTCATACGATATTAGTCTAGCTGCCGATTTTCCTGCGCCATTTTATTTTTAGCGTCAATGTCGGAAAATCGCGTCCTCAGCAGATCTATGCATATTGGATTTAGTTGATATTTTACCCTGAGAAAAAGATACATGACCGGTGATGTACCCTATTCGGACAGCTTGTCTAGTGAAAATTAAGTACAAAATAAAAGGATATATCGTCAATTTGAAGAAGTTTCTTAAAGTACTTAAATTAAATTGATGGTTTATCTTTGAAAACTAAGCAGTCGTTGCTTAAATCATGTGGTGGGATCATCAACAAGCTTGAAAATCGGACAATTGATAATTAATGCTGCGGCGTCTTCAATTAATTAATTAAAGCAATACAGTTCCATATGATGTTTTCATAAATAATAAATAATGTACGCAATAAGATTAATTAAGTTCTTCATCAAGATATATTTCAGTTGTACCAGCGTGTACACCTTTACCGGAAGTGGGTAATACACGTCACAATCTCGGTCTCGTCTGTCTCGCGAGAATGACAGAACGCCAAAATGGCGGCGCCCATGAACTTATTTCTCAAGTAAAAAATAGTGTCTTAAAATACGAATTTCTCACTTATAGGGTTGATGTCAACAGAAAAACTGTCATGATACCTATTTTTAAATGATGAATATTTATATTAGACAGACATCAAGCCATCCATTCCTATTCCTTTAAGATATTTAGTGGGGTAATGGTTATGACTGTACAAATATTTATTTAAATATTGTAGTCACATGTCTGCAAAAATATAACAAAGTCACATTTCCTTTTGATATTGTATTGTAGTTATCATAACTGCAGATTACATACAGTCATGTGCGCAACATAGGTTCTAGCTGGCTAACGGTTATTACTGCTGGACCCTGAAGTGATCAGCCTTTACCACCAGAGCAGAATCAGGCCAGCTTGCACATTTGTGTAGTCTGACCTGGCTCTATACTATTTGTGTTAGCTGAATTTTTGTATTTTGATATTGAAATCCCTTAAACTTTAAATGGACTGTTCCAAATTCAAAGCTTGGCAAATCAACGATTTGAATTCCGTAGACTTAGGATTAAACCTAGAAGACTTCCTGTATGCAGTAGGAAAGGTCTTAGACAGTTTATTTTTTTATTTTCATTTGAGAGATGTAAAAACAAATTATACAACAAAATAATAAAGAACAAAGGTGCCTTTTGTCTAATATTCACTTCATACCTTCTTATATCATTAATAAACATTTTTAGTTTATTATACATGTATATAAAATGGTAGGGTGGAGATGTTATATGCCAGGCACCTGTGATAAAGAAGTATAATGAATATAACTTACTAGGAGTATGTTCAGTTGTGGAACTTCTTAAACTTTCCTCATAAAGGTTCTTTGTAAATCTATGAGCTGCTGTCATCCATGCTATGGCCTGTTAACACAGTGGACAGAAAATCTGAATCTACATCGATTTTAATAACTTGCGCATTTTTCATTCATTTTTCACTGATTTTATTCCCATAGCAACACTTACTTTCACATTTCTCCATATATCTACTCTTTACTTCATTTATATTCATGTAATAATATAATAATTTTACATTACATTAATTAACGGTAAATAAATAATCAATAATTTGGATAATTCCGTTTTAAAAAATACATGATATTTTATTGGGAGAAATGACTGCCCATGTTCCTACTCTGTGATAGAAAATGAAACATGTACATGTAGTTAATCAAGGAATATAAACCTGATTATGGACACTTTATGAGCAGGTTTGCAAGACGCCATATTGGAATTTTCTCAAAGAGTGACATCACAGTGGAAAACACCCACTGACAAAAATATACTAAAATAGTACATAATTACATAAATCTGTTGAAACGAGTCCAGAACTGTTAGTATTTACTTATTCATTTGAGTATATAATTCTCAAGCAAACAGTGCTTACTTGTCCATTTGGTTTACATAAAATGGTGGTACATTCAGGGCCGGTTCCCCATTTCTGCTGTTCCTTCCAAACAAAGTCTTTAGGAGGCTGGTGCTCTTTTGGATCCTGGGAACCAGACCAGATGGTGATAGTAGACTCGTCAGCAAATTTTGTTCTTGGTGGGAACCGGAAAACTGCCACAGGATGGCCACCAACATTCTGTTGAATCATGTACCCGCCAAACTCAATTTCCTGGAAAAAAAAAAACAATCATAATACATGTACATATAGTATATTTTTCATAATATAATTTATAGTCATATTAATATATCATCATGTAACTCTCAAACTAGTTCAGGGCCTGTAGAACAAAACAATCAAGTTGTTAAAAGTTTTTGAAATTTTCAGAGAATTGTTATATTCAACTCATAAGGTGTTGTTGGATACATATTTCACATTTCTTTTTTCTGCAACTACTTTAATTCATATATATACTTGAAACTATGTTGGTGCCACGGTGGAGCTGAGCTTAATACTATCATTATGGGCATATGAGATAAATCTACAAATTGAAATATCTGGACCAATTTAATCTGTTTTTATTCAAGGTAAAACTACTATTTATTGAATTCATCAAAAATTAATATTTTTCATAGACAAAGTTTTTACTCTATTCTAAACAGCCACTATATTTCACTACTGTACAGTTTACCCTTACATTAAATATTATCAATCAAGCATAACTCTTTCGTTCTTTTTTAATTAAATAAATTATTTTCAAAAAAAGTATACGCTTTCATATACAGGGCCCTTATAATTTTACTTTTAAAATCAAATATAAATGAAATATAGTAAAACTATAAATTAAAAACCTATCTGTCAAAATGATTTACCTTAATCAATAAACAAAAATCAATGACCTTGTCAAATTTTGTCACTTTCGATTGATCTACGAGCAAATGTAACTTTAAAATTACGTTATCTAAGTTTGAATTATAACCTATAATCAAACAGTATGTGGCATTAGGAATTCAAAAATTTTTAAACAGTCTATTGACTAGAAGTTTCATTTCATTTATTTTTAATACTCCGCAAACAAAACGCACATGTCAAGTTTATCCTTTAATTAGAAACCCGGGTAGCGCCACAAATACGGTAGTTTCTATTCGATCAATGTTAAATACTATGTAAATTCAGTTTTCAATTTTCTATTTCAAAGTTTAAACTCTTTAAACAATTTTTACAGGAGATAACAAAAGGTTAAATTTAACACTTTCTTGCTCTCCCTCTATCCTGGCCTATATGCAAACAAATGTTAACAAATAATGACAGAAAATGGTGGCATTTTGCTACTTAATCTGCAAAATTTGTTTAATTTTCTTCATACTGTAAAAACAAAATAGAACTGTACCCTTACATTACCTCAGGTTTAAAACAAATATCGGGTTTCTGAACAAAATGTTATAACCATTACAAGAAACATGGACTCTATCTGATCTTTGCTGACTTAATGTTTTCAATAATACCAAAAAAATGTCAAAATTTCAGAAGAAGTCTCAAAAAATTTAAAATATTCAACAATTTTTTTGGTTTTAATTTCTTAAGACAAAAAGTCTCAAAAAAGAGCCAACACATTTTACTCTTTTTCTATGGTGGAACTTTACTGTATATGTTAATATATGTAAACATATAGTCTCAGATAATTCTTTTTAGAATGACCATATTGTAATTGTAATTTTATATGTCTTTTAAAATTGTTAAATATGGATGAGACTCAAATAAAATAAAATAAAAAAATGGTGACTAGTAAAGTACTTTTATTTAATTCCACTATTAAAGAGTCGTTTTTTTGTTTGTTAATTAGGAGATATATTAGATTGTGTTATAACTACATAAACAGAACTACTGTCTTACTATTATTTCTACTTCATGAATTTAAAGAGAAAAATTTCTTTATCTACCTTCTTTAATGAAGAGTATCAAAATATATCTTTACCTGTTTTCCATCATTGAAGAGTCGGATAAATTTTCCATCTTGATTAACTTCCAGGATCTTGATATCTCCCACAGCACTGCCAACAAAACCCATACTGTTAATTCTATTGTTTTACAACTTGCAAATATAGTTCTTTAAAAAGTTATTTATCCTAAAAGTCTCCAGTACAATAAATCACTTTCTATTCCACCTAAAAATTTCATAAATTCCAGTTGTTTTTTCACTTTGAATTGGATATTTCAGAGCTCAGCAGATATTTAGGGATCAGTAATTTGACTTTGGTTGTATAGAGTATAAAAATCTCATGAAGTAGAAATAAATTTTACGCGAGATCAACATGTAGTCTTTTAAAAAAAGAACACATAACTTAACCTACCATATTTAACAACAATTAAGAATTAAAGTAACTTTTGTTAAATCTATTCCATCTAAGGTTTTTAAAGTATGTAGCGTTAGATCAAGTTTATACAGATAATTTTCAGTCAGTTACACTGCTGTACTGCATTACTACCAATCAATATATAAATATATAGTTAGACCCCTGTATCAAAATTTGTTTCTATCAAACAAATGAATACATAAATCTTAGATAATCTCTAAAGATTATTCCGCCCCAAAAATTTAAACCTTATCTAAAGTGGGTACACTTCAAATATCTATTGATTGATTCTTGTACATTTTGTATATATATATGAAATTACAAATTCCGAATATCTGCCGAGCTCCTTTGAACAAATCCTATTTATTATACACCATAAAGTATTGTATTTCACACAACTGCACAAAAGCGCACAAATCTATTCCAAAAACTTCTTACAGCAAGATTGAAAATCAAATTATTCAACTTTTTGAATAAATACCTTTTATCAGTTAATATATAAATAATTTAAACAACAAAAAAAAATCACATGAAAAGTTTTTCGAAAACTTTTTTGTTCATAATTTCAATTTTTCACACACAATGAAAAAATCCTTAAATTTCAATATATTAGTTTACCCACAGTATATTATATCAATTTGAACATAAAATCCAAACGCTTAATCTGAGATAATCTATTCCCCTATTCGGACTAAACAATAGTTACCAAGTTGTATTCAATGAACATTGATTAATTTTAAACCTGTATATACCCCTAGAGCCACCATTAATCCCTAATCACCCCAGCTCTTAGATATTTAATCAATCTTTTAACTAGTTCCTAATATCTTTTGTGACAAAAATTAAATATCTTTACCACTGGTTGGAATTAAATAATGGCATGACAAAGTTATTGACTGCTAAGATAAAGGCTAAAAATCAAGTAGAATCATTTTTCACTTTTTGTACAGGTCATTAAAGACCGACCAAGATTAACTGCATTTTATCTTCTTTTTTTTTTCTTTTTTAAATGAACTTAAAGAGCAAACCTTTTAAATATTTAAAGTTTGTTCTCAAATGTGACAGGTGTCAAATTCAGTAAATCTCTGAACATTTTAAACTCAGGTTATACCATTTATTTGTATTCATTTCATTATATAACATGGATATCATCAATGGAAAAAAGAGTCAATTGAATAATAAGAAAAACAAAATGTGATGTGACAATAAGATGGCTTGATTCTTGAACTATTAACCTTCACTTTCAATGGAATTGTCCAACTTTGAATTTGGAACTGAAAGAATTTCATAATATTTGAAAAAAAAGCAACAAATAGAGCCTGGTCAGATGTATAACATGGGAATACCATAGAGTTGTCACTTCCCTTAATCCCTGCTGATGCCAAAGTTATTAACACAAAATAATGAAGGTATTAGTTTTGCAATACCAAACCGTTATACATGTATACATCTAATATATAAAATTTACTCCACCGGAACTGAAAGTGATCAGCCTTTGCGACCAGTATAGAGTCAGGTCAACCTGCACATCTGTACAGGCTGACTTGGCTCTTTACTGTTGGTAGCTTAAGTTTTGTATTCACTTTCAGACTTTTAATGGACTGTTCTACATTAAAGGTAGGGGTAACTTATAACACACATTCAGCAGGTTAAGGGTGAACACTTTAAATGCTTTATATTATAATAATTTGTCTATGCCTCCAGTGTTAATCCAGTTTGCAATATTACCATGCTCTACACTGTTTGCTGATTTTCACAATTATAATATTGAAATTACATTAAATGATAAATAGACAGTTCCAAAGTCAAAGCAAGACAAGTCCATTAATCTCTACATTTTAGTGGTACATATAACTAAATATCCCAATATGAAAATGAATTTTAATCTGTTAAGGTATAATGGAGATATAGAATCAAAGGGAAGTAACTCTAAGACAACTAAATGGAAATGTTAACAACAATTGCTGGACTTTGAGTAATCTTAAATATGAGGAAAGGATAATTGGTTTAAATACAGTAATAACTGCTAAAGATTCATTATTGTCCTAAATTAAAACAAGAACTCTGTGTTCAATTTTTTTTTTAAATCATAATTCTCAAAATGGTGAAATTTTATAATTTAAGAAAGGCTAAGCATTCAGGACCTGCATGAAAATAAGAATAGCCTTACTATATATAGTTCCAGTTAGTCTTAATAAGCCAAAAGAGACCAAAGCAGTAAATAAGTAGATAAAACTTCCATTAAATTACTTTATACTAAAAACACCAAAGAGAAAAATGAGAAATTAATAGCATGAAGAATGGTGTTACAAAAGATGATATTTCAAAATAGAAGATAAATTTACATTTTGGTATTGACAAACATTGCTGTCCTCTAATATTTATAAACTAGGTACAAAATCTATCCTTTCAACCAGTGCAGATCAATATCAATCTGCACATTCATGCCAACTGATCATGGTCTACACTGTTTGCTGTTCAATCAGTACAAATTTTAAAATATACCCTAAAATTTTTATACCCTAAAATGTTGTCAAAATGTAGAGTGATGAGGCTAATAACTTGTTCTTATTTGTCATGAGGTATCTCCAAATTTGTCAAAGTAAGGCAAAACAACAGACTTGACACAACTAGACAAAAGATAATTAATAATAGACATCTAACTGGAAAGTTATCAATAGAAAAAAATCTTGTATGAAAACAAAACAAAACCACCAAAGGGTGCCAAACTTGGATACATATGGGTGATAACATACATTTCATTATAACAACAAAATTATTTAATGTGGAGATATTAAAAATGGGAGTGTGTCAACAGAATCTTTTTTCCAGTGTACAGGGTAGAAAAATAACATAGCAATATTGTTCACATGACAACAGTTAGACACAAACCTTGTCCGTATTTCAAGATTGCTGTAAAAATGTTCAAGAAAAATTTGAATATTTTGACTTATACTATCTCCCTTGTATGAATAGAGTCAAGTTTGGAACAGAAAGTCTTCTAAGCAACAAGTGTTAATACAGTAAAAAAAACAAAGGAGAAAAATCCAAATTTGATTAAATTTAAAAGAATTTTCTGAACAAGAATTGAAACTTTAAAGAAAATCAAAGACCTGCAAACTTGTCCAGAGGAGCCATTCATTTTTCTGTAAATGAATAATGGTGGCATGAATATGACAAGCTTGACAAATACTGCCATAGAATACATAACTGGATGATGAATAATGTAACTGAGATCTATCTAAAGTTACAATTTCTAATAAGGGCATTGCACAAAGTATTTGATAAGCAAACATACATGTATATGGAAATATAGACAAGACTGATAAGCAATGCATTTACTTTCTTTCACTGGATATATTTATAAAGATTTTATACTATTTACTTGCAATGACAATATAGCCCTGTAAACTAATATGGAAAGCAAAGTTAGTGAAAGTAGGGAAATGTCCATACAACAAAATGAGTTGTGCCCCTTGAAATAAAACATTGTGCTTTGTGTAGAGTTGTGCCCCCTTTTCTATATTCACTTTTAATTTCTCACCTGGAAGTTGCAGTTGTGTAGTCATGGAACACTGAACTCTGTGGCCGGTCTGCCTGACGAGGCTCAAGCACACGGTCTACATGGTCAGAGGCAGCACTCCTCGGTCTCTCTTGCTTTGTCATCTCAGGTATAGGTTGTGACTCTGTTACCATCTCCAAACTGTAAAATAATATATCAACTTATACAAGATGTGAAACTAAAAATAATTTTTTTATTCAGAAATGCAAAGCAATATACATAGGCAATGGAATTAAGATGAACTAGAACTATCACTAAATGTGATTAATACCCCCACAAAACTGCTTCAGAAATGAGGATGTTACTAGTAACAGAATACCTTGTAAAAGAATTGAAATATAGAGTAATGGTTGTGGGCAATTAAAGATAGTTGTGGTTCTTGTATGTTGCATTTCCTTTCAATGTGGTTGGCATTGAATGAAGTTTTATTGAATTACTCTGTAATAAGTCCAGAAAGACAAGGAAAGAAACAAAGGGCAATAACTCTATAAATACTGAAGATGGAGTTATAGTTGTGCACTGCACTTCCTCTTATTGTGCTTGACCATTGTATGAAGTTGTTTTGAATTCAACCAGTATGTTTTTAAGTTCTGCTCCGGACAAGGTAAAGTATCAAAGGGCAGTAACTCTGTATTTTGTCAAAATGAAGTTATGGCTCTTGTGCACTGCACTTTCTTTTAATGTCCTTGACAACTGTATGAAGTTGTATTGAATTTCAAACAGTAGTTTTCGAATAATGCTCTGGACAAGGAAAAGTAACATAGGCAGTAACTCTGTAATAAGTCAAGATGGAGTTATGGATCTTGTGCACTGCACTTCCTCTCAATGTGCTTGACCATTGTATTAAGTTATATTGAATTCCAACAATTAGTCTTCAAGTTATGGTCCGGACAAAAAAAAGCAATGGAAAAGTAACAAAGGGCAATAACTCTGTAATTACTTTAGATAGAGTTATGGTTCTTGTGCACGTACTGCACTTTCCCTTATTGTGTTTGACAATTGTATGAAGTTGTTTTGAATTCCATCCAGTAGTTTTCAAGTTATGCCCCAGACAAGAAAAAGTAACAAAGGGCAATAACTCTGTAATTACTTTAGATAGAGTTATGGTTCTTGTGCACTGCACTTCCCCTTATTGTGTTTGACAATTGTATGAAGTTGTTTTGAATTCCAACCAGTAGTTTTCAAGTTATGCCCCAGACACAGAAAAGTAACAAAGGGCAATAACTCTGTAATAAGTCAAGATGGAGTTATGGTTCTTGTGCACTGCACTTCCTCTCAATGTGCTTGACCATTGTATTAAGTTATAATGAATTCCAACCATTAGTCTTCAAGTTATGGTCCGGACAAAAGAAAGCAATGGAAAAGTAACAAAGGACAATAACTCTGTAATTACTTTAGATAGAGTTATGGTTCTTGTGCACTGCACTTCCCCTTATTGTGTTTGAAAATTGTATGAAGTTGTTTTAGATTCCATCTAGTAGTTTTCAATTTATGCCCCGGACAAGGAAAAGAAACAAAGGGCAATATCTCTGTAATTAGTCAAGATATAGTTATGGTTCTTGTGCACTGCACTTCCTCTCAATGTGCTTGACCATTGTATGTAGTTATATTGAATTCCAACCATTAGTCTTCAAGTTATGGTCCGGACAAAAAAAAGCAATGGAAAAGTAACAAAGGGCAATAACTCTATAATTACTTTAGATAGAGTTATGGTTCTTGTGTACTGCACTTCCCCTTATTGTGTTTGACAATTGTATGAAGTTGTTTTGAATTCCAACCAGTAGTTTTCAAGTTATGCCCCGGACAAGGAAAAGTAACAAAGGGCAATAACTCTGTAATTAGTCAAGATAGAGTTATGGTTCTTGTGCACTGCACTTCCTCTCAATGTGCTTGACCATTGTGTGTAGTTATATTGAATTCCAATCATTAGTCTTCAAGTTATGCTCCGGACAAGGAAAATGCAACGGACGTCTGGACCGACCGACCGCCCGACCAACCGACCGACCACCGGGTGACTCCTATATACCCCCCCAAACTTCGTTTTTGGGGGTATAACTAGCCTCCATGCATGTCAATGTAGACCACCAAGGCTCTTTATTGCCAGTTTTTGATACAAAATCCCTCAAATTAAGAATGGATAATTCCAAACTCAAAGCAAAACAAGCCCATTATGCAAAATTTGGTTGGTAAGGGTTGATTTCTTGGAAACAAAACTTACAATTCAGATCTGCTAGATGGGCGCTCCCGCTGTTTTGCACTCGGAGGTCGTTCCATGGGACTACTTTTTGGGCGTGTTTGTGTGTACAGTGTTTCTCTGGTGAGGTCTTTAAACATTTCATCGAAGTAGTCCTTCCCCTGGCCTAACTTTGTTGGAACAACTTGAACAGATGACCCTGGTCTCACTGAAATATTCAAACAATTAAAGATAGCATAGGCATAGAAAAACATCCTCAAACTGCTTATAGAACATTGTGTGAAAAAGACTAAAAATTTACCAAAGTCTCTTATTGCAAGACATTGTAACAAAATCTCTTCTTGTCTATGACAAACATAAGGAGATGTATACACAAACTGAAGAAAAGTGCTATTATCTATTAAAAGAACTGGTTTTTTCCAACACCAATCATCTATTCTTGACACAGACAAATGTACAAAGTTGTATGATGTAAAAATAATATTGCCATTTTGCAGCCAAATAATATTGCAGTTTTCCAGCAACTCACTGTAACTGTTCAAGAAGAATTAAAATATAGATGAATTAAGTATGCCTCTTAGTCTTACAACTACCAAAATATTAATGATGTAATTTTCTGTTACCTGGAGCAGATTTTGCTCTTGTAATAGGACCAATAGCCCTAGGAGAATTTCTTGGTGGTGAGTCGATATGTAAACGGTTCAAGCTCGGAGTTGTCTCATATGTATACTTTGTTGAACCTATATAATCTGTGGCCCCTAAATTGATGAAAAAATCATATACATTTATATTAGAATATGAACAAACATATAACAATTTTGTAATTATAGTCCACATGGTTTGTAATTTTCAGTACATAAAAACTTCATTTAAAATAGATATGAAGTACATCCTCTATATATTGATAACAAAGATGACATTTTCTTGAATATTAATGCCTTCTAGTTAAAATTGAACCTAGTTACTAACAGTAACTTGCACTTCCCAGTACCGTCCATGAACATGCTCAATCAAACCGAGCCTGCCATATTTTTAATTTTGCAGTGTTGGCCTTTCTTAAGGGATTCTGTTTTTTTCCCTATTATATAAGTATAATACAGGTCTGGGCCCTTGAACTTCCCATATATTGTTTTTAAAATAACTTGAATTTAGACAAAGTAGGCTTAGACCCCTAATCCATCATATACTGTAAGAAATAAATCTAACAATATTGCAATATTATGTCACAACTGACCTTCAGTTCGAATAACAATAGATTTAGCCACAACCATTGACATTTGCTCTTTTGTAAATAAATATGTTGTGGTGAAATTCTTGTTGAATCCACTAATCTGATAATAACAGGTCAGTGCTCTATGCATGTTATATAAGTTTTTTTGTAATTATAAATAAACTTATATACTGACCTGGATCAGTGGAGCATGACAGGGGTATATGAGTGAAGAGTGATTCCCCTTGTGACGTCTGCTCACCATAACCTTGACCTTGTGATGTCTGATGGTCATAAAATTGTGTATGCTGCTCTCCATACTGCTGAGTATATGCAGACCCTTGGGTAGTAAATGCTGCATTCTGTTCCGTGGCAGTGCTAAGCTGAGTTGGTGAAGCAACATATTCTGGCTGGGCCTGGGCCTGGGTGACAGTGGCAGAGACAGCTGGAAGGGTCAGCGGGACTCCGGTGGTATAGGTTGATGGGTGAGGATGAGTTGCTGTAAGAGGGAGCTGTAATCTGAAACAGAAAGAAATCAGGGTTTAATTATACTGTAGGCATACTTCATATTTAATAAATCCTATGAAAAGGCAGACATACTACACAATTTAATTCTATCACCAGCTTTGATAAAATTTTCAACAAAATTTGAATACAGAGATGGTGAAAAAAAGTCCCAAAGAACATTACATGATTATGTGTCATACCCAGGACCCTATGGATAGTTGGTTTATTCTACACATGTATTATTTTTTATAATAGTTTTTAGGCGGAGTCATTAAGTAAATAAAACCAGAGAAGTTTGTCCATCTCCAAAACAAAAATATTGAAACAATAATAATGTCAACAAATCATTCTTTTCTAGCCTCACTTTGAGAAAAAGTAAATTACCTCAAAGGTTTAATCACGATTTCATCTCCAGGGCAAACTTCCTGTCTGAGTTTAGCCAATCGTATTACATTATCTCTTTTGATAAACTTTAAATTGTCACTGTACATTAACAATGTAGGTTGATGACGGAACTTCATTTTCCGATGATATGAGATTGTCTCCATATATATATAGTAACGGTTATATCAACGTCAAGATTTTTAACAGGACGTTAGATTATCCATCAGATTCCTTCATATTACATCAAAATGTATCCAAATGTATAATTTTTATTCACAGCATCTTGAAATAATTCTTCATTGTTTTTATTCTATATATAACAAAATAGAATGTAAAAGCACAGCATTCTTTCAGTTAAATTTGGATTTAGACAATACTACATTTATATATTTTTTCAATCTCTTTAAAAGCATGTATAATCTTAGATACATGTATTGGAAAAAAATGGGAAAAAAACTTCAAAGCATACAAAGTTTTGTCTACAAAAAATTACAAACATGTTCATTCGTTGCAACAACAAGGTCCTTTAACAGCATTAAATGTTAACAACCAAACAAAATAATCCAACAATAACAAATTTGTTTCCCCCTCAAAGGTTCACATTTTCAAAAAGAAATGCTATGCTTTTACAATCCATGGTATTAATCAATTTGCTAACAACTGTTGCATTTTAAACACTTTTGTTCCAGTTTACATGTTAATTGATTTCTATTTATTTCGCTATATCCGATGTATTATTTGACGAACAAACGGCTTTAATACGAACATTTCCCGTTCATCACAAATTTGTCAATACTATCAATAATGTCTCTTCTTGGCAAATCAATAACTGCCATGTTAAACTAGTAGCAGACCTGAGACCTCGCTACCATATGACATGTATGTCTACATAACGCAAATTAAAACCTTTTTAAATTTTAAATAGTTTATAATTCTGTTTCAATATATCTATATTTTAAAAGGTAAAGTATTCCTCTTAAACTTATATATCATCACCTTAGTGCAGTAATGAGTTACTTCTTATATAATTTAATAAGTTAACCTGTTACTGCACTAAGGTGACAATATGAAAATATCTTTCTTTTTTTATTTCAATAACTGATAGGTGACCGAGGTTATTGTACCGAAGTATTAAGATAATGAATATAGAGATCTACGATAGATCGATATAATCCGGTTTAATTATTCAGTTAAGATAACTATCTTTTGTCATCTTAATTGACAAATTTGTTCAGTTATGGTCATATCGATTTTATTTCAATCAAGTTACACACGTCAGTGAACAGTTAACTAATGATTTTATATAAAGTTCCATTTCTTTATAGATTTGTAAACATGTTATATTCCACAAGTTTGACATCTTCTCCCTAAATTTCATTGATGCAATAATTGTCTATTCGATTATAATGATTTAATTCATATTTTCATGCCATTAAAAATTGTTTTTCCCACAAGTATTAATTCCTATCCAATTAGAAACAACTCCATGAAACTCAAACATTATACTGTAAACTACCAGCAGACGGCACAGTCACTCCATACTCTATCATAAATTATACAATAGCAATATATTGCACTATTGAATAAATCCTTCTGTATATATTCACCTTTTAACATGTGAAAAAAAAGATAACAAAACAAGAAAAAAAACATTAAAAAAAACTATCCCCACAACCCTTGAATTTTAATCCATACAATAGAATTAAATCATTTTCAATCCATGCATTAAAATGTTTTCTGAACTAGACACAATCGTAGAGTAGAAAATCCATTATGAAAATCGTAACAATACCTTACTAATACCCCCTATGCTTAATATAATATGGATTTGTATCTAATGTGTTTTGATTCCGAACTTGAAATCCAATAACTTTAGTATGTAAAAACTTTGCCAAAATTTAATGACAAAATCTGTATCAGTATGATCTAAATCAAATTAATTCCGCTAGAATAATATTGTATTAATTAATAGTGCAAAAATATATTTAAATGCAACCAGATTTTGAAAAAAAAAATCTTTTTTACAGTTTAAAAAACTAAAAGTTGACAATTTAAAATCCACAAATTATTTCATTTCGAGATTTTTAATTATTGAACACAATATCTTGTGATGTGACGCACCTAAGCAAATGAGTTTCTAATGTAAATGCTTTTGAAAAAAAACGTATCTTCAAAGATTTTAAGTCGTTTAAAAACTGCTCTTCATAAATAGCATTAAATAAAAGAGAGAAAATTGTTTAAAACACTTTGATTAACGCACAGAAAACAAAAAAAAAAAAACATGAAACTCAGTACTTGAAAAATTGAAATGGCAGATAAAAAAATCTCAAGTCATACAACTGTTAATACTTAAATGTGTACAAATTCAAACAAGTTCCACTTTTGAAATTTACCATATATAAATCAATTTGCCACCGTTGCCACAGTACAGTACTTATAATAGTACTATGTCTACAAATTTAGGGTTTGATGCGGAACCATTGTACCTTAAATCATTCTGAATTATGTGATAAAATACACTAGTTTTGCGCTATATCCTCAAAATAAAGTGTTGAATTTTGTACTTGAGAATGGGTAGAATTGTGAAGAATTGTGTTTACCATAGATTAATATGATCTTCTTCAGCTAAATACATATTGCTGATAGGGTAATAAACAATCATGCTTTATCATTTTTCACTATCTCCATAGTCCTTATCACTCAAAATATCATAAATGGATTTGCCCATCTTACTATCTGGACAAAACCATTCATTATTTTCAGGGAAAATTTCAAAATATATACTAACTGAATAGTGAACAATGCAAACAGCTGTGTTGTAGGTTCAGTTCCCACTAGAAGACTTATGGATTTATACATTTATATATGTATATATAGATGGTCAAAAGTATATTAAAAACAATTTTTATAACAGAACTATACATGTATGTCCATAAAAAGAAGTAATGTTGTAGTCAGGTTAAGGCAAACTACCCTCAGGACTATTTTCTAAAACTTAGATGCAATTTACTGTATTCTGTGGTGGGTGGACAAGACTCTCTCCTTGAATTCAAATATCCATACTGGAATATGTGCTTTTTCTTGAAATGTTACAACATTTTCATAGGCCGGAAGTTTCTGTATGAACATCTATATATATGCAGTATTGCTCAAATAATTTGCCTAATAAAAACAGGAAATTAACACCTGCAGAATTTTATCTACAAAAAAACCCCTTAAAAATCAAGCATATTTAACACTTTTGAATAGTTATGGAGATTTATAGCATAATAAATTCAACAAATAAATTAAAAAAATTTAGGTCTTTACAAACTACAGCCATTATTTAAAGTAAAAGTTCAGTGTTAAGATAAATATTTGTTCAAACTTTTTTCATTGAAAATGGTGCATGTAATAGGCCAATGTTGACATATTTAATTAGCAATAAAGGTTCAAACAAAGTTTGTACACATCTAAACACAAAAAAAATTAACAAAGTTTAATATTTATATCAAATTTTAGCCATGTCATTAACATAAATTATATTACAACATGAACAGTTCATTTTCTATATTAAATAATGAAATCTAGTAGCTAACAGTATTAGTGGTGGCAGGCCTAATGTTCTAAACCTTGTGGCATACCACCATAAGCATTTAAGTGTATAGCGCTATACACGCACATCTTCTGCTTGTAGTTTATGTAATTACATGTATTATGATAGAATTTTGAGAAAAAAATAATTCCAAACTTTCTATATGAAAGAAATATGTTCGTTAATTTCCTTTAAAGTAAATGGTGCATGCAAAAGGGTTAAAATCCTACATTGAGTAGCCTGTAGTGTTTGGCTCAGTGGTGTCAAGCATTCTGTTCATTTGTTTACAAGCCTGTGGTTCTTAGTTTAAATCTCATTTGTGGTGGGATTTTTATATTTATATATTTGAATTAAATCTGGTTATTGTGTGAATATATTATAATACCTATCACTGGAATAATTGATACTAGCTATAATCTAACATTCTACGTCTAAGACAATATCAAACAACATAATTATAACAATTCAATTTAAAATTTTTAAATTAATTATTACAAAATTTAACCAAAAACAGTGTACAAATTTTGTGTACAACAGTTGCCTTTTTACATGGCAGTTTTATATTTTTAAATTTATTTTTATTTGTTTGTATTGGTTACAGTTTGTAGCAATATTTAGTATAAATTATTCGCAGCACACATAACTAAAATACTACTAATGTGCAAGGGTAATAACCACTAGCAAGTGTTTACTTTTTCACACATTATCACTCAGGAAACAAGAAATATGTTCATAAGACTGGGATGTCCACACAATTGCCGGTCTATGGATGGACAGCATCACTTATCCACAAGGGTAAATCTATATGCTCTCCCCTACCTAGTGGGGTCATAATAATATATGCCATGCTGTAGACACAAACACAAGGTAAAATAGACTTATTGCATTTATTACTTTGAGACTTATTTAGATTAACTTCTATCAAGATAAAATTAGTAGGCATGTGACAACTAAGGCAGCATTACAATATAAATATCCTAGCCATATATGACTTACAGAGTAACAGTTCCTATTTGCAATCTGTAATATGTATTAAAACAATAATTTTTCAAATCTAAGGGAAATCACTTATCATGGTTCTTACTTAAAACTGAACAGATTAACTTCCCTTTACATTACAAAAATCCGGGGAAACTTGATGAATGTGTCACTGCCAATTTCATGAAAAGGTAAAATAAACCCTACAAAAAACCATCAAATAAAGAAAAAAAAATGAAGATAAGACTGAAAGCATTTCAATCACCATTTCATCTAATTAGTTAGATTATTAAATCCACAACCAACTAGTAATCACACCTGGATTTTGCGTGTAATTACTGGTTCTTAGTAAATGTTTATTTATAATTCTACTACATGAAGCACTAAGTAAAGATTTTACAATCACTAAAACCCTTGATTTTTTTTCAAAGGTTTTTTCAAACCTAGTACATGAAGCACTAAGTAAAGATTTTACAATCACTAAAACCCTTGATTTTTTTTCAAAGGTTTTTTCAAACCTTTGTGCCAAAAACTTATAGAAGTTTATTACAAACTCTCAATATGGTCTGCAGCACAATACATTAACAATAATATCATTTTATAATAAAAATTCTAAGATTAGAAAAAAAATACCCATTGACATGCAGACAAATTTAACAGTGATTAAACATAGGTGATATAAACCAAATTATATAAGTTAATACAGAATTTATTTAAGTTTGGTTGTGTAAGAAGCTGTAAGCTTAAAGACACACTTTTGAATTTGTTCCCGGACCTAACCAGTACTCGGCAAATAGTGTAAACTTTCTTTCTCAAGGAATCAATGGCTTGGCCCTGACTGGGTTCAAACCCATGCAGCCAAAAATCCACACACTCCTAGATCCACATGTTCACATATTAAAGTGAGCTATTAATTTAAATGAATATTAGTGGAGCTGTTTTCTAGTTTTAAGTCCCTTGACCTGAAGCCAGAGATCATGGGATTGAGCCTAACTAGAAATATTTCCTTATTATAATGGAAGAACAGGACAACAGTCCCAAATGTTATTGATATAAATTGGATCAATTATACATGTACTTATAATTAATCTTAAATAAAAACAATTAAAGTATCACACAAGAAATACAATACCTTCTTTCTTCCTCCTCCATTAAAATCTTCATGGCTTCAATCTCGGCTTTCAGGGGGATATGTACATCTCGTTCGTTACTAGCCTCACGCATCTTTGTGAAAACAAGCTCCTGCATGTCCCGGAGTTTCAAATTCATCTCCTGAAGCTGACTTGAAAATCGATCACGTTCTTGTTTGATGAGATCCTCAACTGTTGACCTTTGATGTTCCAAAGTCAATATCTGTATAAAGTATTTTCAATTTTCAACTGAATTATATTATAGTAAATCTAATTGAAATGGACTTACAAAAATGCAACATAAATATTCTGGCAGCACTGAAAACTGCTGGGCATACTGTCTTTCAACATAGATGGTAAGAGTTATCATATAATTCTATGTGAGATGGAAATTCTATGTGAGATGGAAACTACTAAAGTTTAGTCAACTAGAAGAGTACATGTATTTCAAAGATGAAGTGTCCTTTGACAAATTGTTATGTACAATGATTATCAAAAGAAACGGACAAGATTCTTTGTTAAGGTTAAAGTCATGTTTTTGAAAATCATATGTGATTGAATTTGAATGGCTAGTCTGAATTGCAGTCTAAGGGAGAGAAGACATGTCAGTATAGTTAAGATTAGTATGAGTGACCTCCCTTACAATGGAAGGCCGGTGTGAAATATTGGTCTCAAATTTTGCTGGACTAAACAAACTCTGTTCTACATATCAGGATATGTAGAGATTACAATATGACCAAATTTCAGACTGTCTTAAGTTTTACATGAATTCTTTAAGTGGCGTGTTATTTAGGGGCTGATTGATCAAAATTATATGCATTTATTAATGGTAGGAACCATAGACCAATAAAAAACCACTTCATAAAATGAGTCTTGATCTTTCTTAATGCTAAATCTGATTTTTTTTGTACTAAAGTCTTGCCTTGTCTTGAAACTAAAAACTACCATTTTCAGTTTAATCTAGCAACAAAGAGATAACAGTTGACATAGGCTTTATTGCAGCTTACATAACGAGAGGTTTAAAGAAGTTACCTGTCCCTCAAGATTCCTGATTTTAGCAGTGAGTTCCCCTATCTGTCCCTGAAGCTGAGATTTCTCGCTAGATAATAGTTCTATTCTATGAGCATCATTGTCCATTTGACATTTTAATGCTGATATCTGAAAATATACATAAATAAAATGCTATTCAACATCAAATTCTGAAAGTTCCTATATTTGTGATGAATTATATAATAACTATACTAATGTCCGTTTACTTATTGTTTTATACTATAAGCCAGCTGGAGGCTACAGATTCTATCCATGAGACAAATGAGACCATGATCAGCCCATACAATATGGTCTGCACTGTTTGCTATTCATTCTGCTCATATTTTGTTGAAATTTTCCCAGAAAATCATGAATGGTTTTGTCCAGATCAAGATGGATAAGTCCATTTTAGATATTTAGGGTGGTTAGGATTAATGATTTCTTAATAATTTCTGTCTTTACATCATAAATTGAAAGTATCAAATAATGAGGATTGAGTAAAGTGAAAATATTTCTTGTATAAAATCTTGTTTTATATGTTAACCAGGGAGTAAGGTTACAAAAGTATGGAGATCTTGTTGTAAGTTTTTTTTCAACATAAATATTGTAAATTTTCTAAACCAATAAAATTTCTAATGCAATTATGAATAAGACTTTAATCTGGAAATGCATCAGTAGGATATGGATGCCCTAACATTTGACTGTTTTGTCAGTTTATGCACAGACAGCCTTAAAGTAGGGCAGACAAGCAGATGACTTATCTATAAGCACCCACCCATCCCATAAATGGAAACACAAAAAAAAACTTACATTTCTTGTGTAATTTTCTTCAGACTCAACCTGGTATTTTTTAAGTTCATGTTCAGCCTGCTCTCGCACTTGCTTCAGCACTTCTGGTATGGCAATATCGTTCTTTGTTGCCTGGGAGAGGCGGGATTCAAGACTGATAACGAGTGCTTGGTTCTGTTCCAGTCGCTCGCGGAGCTCGGCAAGCTGTTGAGCATGAACTTGTTCGTTAAACTCTAGCTTTTTCGTCAAGGTGTGACATCGGTCCTCAGCCTCGGTGCGTAGAAGAGATTCTTGTTCCTGTCTGTAACAGTATAAAAATATGTGCCTGATATGTATACTAAACACCACTATATACTGGTACATTGTTTTGTGTTCATATGTGTAATGTTGTTATAGCATGAATGCAAATAAAATATTAGTCTATATTAAAATATTAATTACAGTTTCAGAGTTGATAAAATCTATTATCAAACTCCCATTTTAGTTTTGTCATATAAACTGCATACAACTTTATTTATGTCAAGGAGTTTTGCACTAGAAATCCACCCTATATCTATCTATGCAATGTTCTCATTTCAACAGTTGATGAAAATGAAAATAAGGAAAGTTCAACATTTTTTTTTTTTGGTGTGGTGGGGGGTTCTGGTTTTGAGGTCAAATCAATACTATAAAAGTGATATGGCAATTTTCCAGCTTAACAATGCTTCATATATCATCTCAAGAATGAGCACCTTGGCAAAAGGAATACCCTTCTGCAACCTAGTTGGATTGCTTCTGCACATAAAATAGTTCAATGTCCCTGGCAGGAATCTTACTAACAGGGGTAAGGAGCAAGTGATTTGAAGTGACCAAACCAACCAAACCTGGAAGGATATGTTAGGTCTTTATAGAAGCAATATCAAAACTGTATCACTAACCTTCTCTTATGGTCTTCATTTTCTCGAATGATTTTATCCATTTCTCGCTGCAGATGCATGAAATCAGACCGCCCATCTCCTGCCTGCCTCATATTCATAAGCTCCGCCTCCAAATTGTTGTTCTTCTGCTGCAACTGATTCATATCATCCATGAGGCGACGGTTCTTATCTGTCTCTACTGCCATCCTGGGGGAAAAAAAGACATTTCCACATACAAAAACTGTTAAAATGGCACAGGTGTATCATTAGGTTGTTCTATAACAATTTGTTTACATATGAACTAAAATTTAACCATAAAGACAACAAACAATCTTCAACTCATTGGAAATGAGAATCCAGAAATGAATTTGTTGTGTTGCTATAGCAGCCTTAGATCAAGTAGGTGGAGTCGCTCATAATTTGAAACTGCCACTATGTATTTCGGAACTTGTATATGTATCAGTTGATAAAAATCTTCATGAAATAAAACTTTTGTACATTTGACAAAAGCTTAAAAAGACCTTGATTAAATTGTTTTGATATTACAATTGTTATTACAAGATAAATGTTTATTTTAGGTAAATGACACAAATATGTGTGTAATTTTGAGACTTTCCTAGTGACTTCCCTCATAACTTTGTATGTAAAGGCAATATATCTCTAAAATCAGCAAGTAACTGTTATAAATTCAAAGCAGTACAAGTTCATTAGGCAAAGTCAGTAGGGCAAGGTTCAAAGAACTCTAACGAGACAAAAGTTCATTCATAAAGGGAGGTAATAAAATATGCACACCTGCTTTCAAAATCAATGGCAGCTTGTTTGTTTTTCTCGCATTGTAACTGGTAATTGCTCTTTTCTCTGTTAATAGCATTCAACTCCTGTCTAAAATGTATAAAAACCATTATTGCTTGAAATAGCTGTATATACATGTATTACATAAAAATTACTTCAACATATTTATAAATCTCCGTGTAACCATATGACAAATGTAGAAGCATGGCAAATTTTTAACGTTTTGAGACCAAAAGAACACCATTCCTGTGTTAATGGTCAAAATACATCTACTTTAATAGTAAGAAGTCTGCAAATTTTAAGGCTTTAATCTATTGAAAGCTTTGCATAATAATAAAAACATCAGGGTTATTGCACCAACATACAGCCAGGTCAGCTTGTACATACATCTAGGCTGTCTGGCCGGGTTTTATTCTGTTTGCCGCTCAATTTGGTATTGAAATCCCATTGGCAAACCAAACTTCAAATCAGATAGTTAACCTGGATGTATGTAATTCCTATAGTAAGTAGAGTTTTCCATTTGTAACTTAGATAATAATCCAAAGAGGACAAAGTCTTTCCTTACAGAGAAGCAGGAACCGAGAGCTGTCATAGTAACTGAACAGTTAAACATAATCGAGTTAAAACCAATCCTTATAAAGTCATTAAACCACTTATAGCTTATATGTTGTGGTATTTCTTACGTTATTTTATATTCAAGTCACATACCTCATGGCGTCCAGTTCCCTTTCATAAAGTGTTTTCAGGTTTGCCACTTCCTCCTCTAATATTCTCGTCTGCTTCACAAACGTACTTGCATCAATCCTATTATTCTGCTCACTTAACAGACGCACTTTCTGTATATATGTAGAGAACCTATCGTTCAACATTTGGAGATCTTCTTTCTCCTGTTTCCTTGCCGACGACATCGGTGAAATTATATCAGTGCTGTAAAAACTCATGATTGGTGATTTCGCTTCAACCTTATCGTCAAAGTTTACACGATTTGAATCATAAGTAACGTTTTTGTTGTTAGAGCTGGAAGTGATTTGTCTTCCAGGCGACGTGAACCTTGACGTTGGTGCGGTAGAGGTACGATCCGAATATAGCTGTACACTTGATTTCCCGGGTGATGACTGTATCCTAATTGTTTCTGGTCGACTGCTGTAACCAGAGTCAACTCTTGTGGAAGGAGTTACATTTACACTTCTATTATAATCTGCAGACGTCTTAGAATGACCCACAGCAGATTTAACTCTAGTAGTTGCAGTCTTTTTTAACTCACTGTTTGGAGAAGATTGTACAAAGAACACTGTTTTTTCATATGGATGTTTAGGTGAACTTCCTTTTTCTAGTAAATATTTATGGGATGAAACAAAATGAGAACTACGTGGTTCAGTGCGTTGTGAAGATGGAATAACAGGGGTGGTGGGAGTTACAGGGAAATCTGTTTGTTGTCCGCTATCTTTTGTTTCTATATCTGTTTCTTTAACTTGAGGGTCTTGTTCCTGATCCCCGGTTATATCTGTAACACAGAAAACATAAACATGCAATTTTTCAAAGAAAAATCCCTTAATGGAAAAAAACACTCTTAACATTTTCAGATTTCATAACTGTACATGTAGTCAGCTAACAATAATGAATAGACAAATTTTGTCCTGGACATACAGGTTGCTCTGTCACTAATCTGATAACACATGCAAATTATTTTCACCACTCATTTTCAGAATGTGAAGCTTAATATTGTCCTATTTAAGACTATAAACTTGAAATTTTCTCTGTTTTAAATTGGTGGCACATGCAAGTTATTGTTATTGTTACTGCTAGGATTCAGAATATTAAGTTAAATATTTGACCATTTAAATTAAGTTAAATATTTTACCATTTAAATCTAGAGACTTGAAATTTTCTCTGTTTCAAATTATTGGTCATACAATGTATATCTTCAAGTTATTTTCAGTGCTAGGGCTCAGAATATAATATTTATAAATATTATACCATTTAAATCTAGAAACTGGAAATCTTCTCTATTAGAATCTTGTGATGTGTTTTCCCATTGACCTTCTCTAATAATCGGAATATCTTCACTGTAACCTAGGCGACTGGGACTACGTAAAACTTGATGGTCTACTTCACGTCCCTCACTAAATCTGAAATGATATACATTGACAAATATGTATTAAAAGAGAAGTTATAAACAATTTTATTAATTCAAACAGGTAGATCCAGGAACAAAACTGAAAACTGGAAAGTCAAGTAAGTGAAAACATTAAGAAACAAGAACAAATATCAGTAAATGACCTGTCTCCCAAGAAAAAATTAATTACGGCTTTTTTATAGTTCATTAGAGATAAATTTTATTTGCTCATAAACAATGATTTTGATTTAATCTTTGCCCTCTTAAATTTGTAACATTCAAAAGAAGAGAATGAAAAACCTTGCGGCATAATGGTAAACTCGCGGAGCTGTTAGTTGTTATGTCACCTTGAAAGAAATTGCTAAATGCCGAATTTATTTCATTGGTTACTTTACACTTAATTTTCAAGTATACTAGATAATAATACCTTTTGTGATATGTTACGATACTTCTAAATAATGCTCTCTAATAATCAATATAGAACACAAATATAAAGTAACGTTCTAAAATCTGTGCAATGCTAGCTGTATTTTACATAATGTTCATTTTACATGGATATTAGACCTCAGTAAACTGTTTTATAGCCTCTAGGCCTGGCTCTTTTCTTTCTATTGTTTTATAAAAATTACTTGCTTATCAAAATTATTCGGGTTTTTTTTATACTGAAATCTATTAAAACTTAGAATGGTCTGTTCCAAATTCAAAGGTGGACAAAGTCTTTAAACAAATTCAGCAAGTTAAGGGTTAAAATTCATGGTTTATTAATAAAATGGACGAGTTTTATAACAAAAATAAAAAACTGCACAAAAGTTTCAAAATAATATTCACACACCAGCAATCTGCGTAAACTAAATTAATCAAATACCATTGAACTTAGTGCTTCACAACAGGGTTTACAATCTGATATAATGAAGAGAGAGAAAAAAAAACAAATAAACACACAAACCCATTTAACATCCTTTAGTGTAAAACAATACAATTAGAACAGACATAAAAAACATGACACAAATTGAAATAAATGCATTAGTAATGTCTTAATTCAATCAATTTCCCCATTATCAATATTCAATACTGATCCATATTCAGTACAAATATTTGATAAATCTTAAGGACAAAGTACTTAAAATCATATAAAGATTAAAGTCAAGAGCTTTGAAAACTGACTTTAATATATGCAGATATTGAACATTTTTTCTGACATAAAGACTTTAAGTAATAGCTTTTAACATAAATCTCCATAAAACAATCTTAAAGTACCTCTATCTGTACAAAGCTTAAATCTTTTTTTATGATAATGACTTTTAGATAAAAAAGCAGAAGAGTTGTGACAGTAAGTTTCAAACATGTTGCTTTTAGTGATTTTACTATCATTCTCGTAACGATTTACATCTTTTAAACTGTGTTTGGTGTAACATCCACTATATAAGAGAACTTGAAACATTCATTATGTCATATTGTGTATAAGCATTCATTCCATATGTCAACATGTGTCAATCTGTCAACCTGTGCCCATGACATTCATTTCATTTGTCAACCTGTGTCTATAATATTTATTTCATCTGTTAACCTGTGTAAGTCAGTGACTAAAATGCAATCTGTCAACCTGTTTCTAACACATTCATTTCATCTGTGAACCTGTGCCTTTGGTATTAATTTCATCTTCCAACATGTGTCAGTACATTTATTCCATCTGTCAACCTGCTTCTATGATATATTTTTTCATCTGTCAATCTGTGTCTATAACATTTATTTCATCTGTGAGCCTGTGGTCAGTAACATTAATTTAATCTGTCAACCTGTGTCTATGGTATCCGTTTAATATGTCAACTTATGTCTATTATGGTCATTTCATATGTCAAATTGTTCCAGTGACATTCACTTCATCTGTCAATCTGTGTTTTCAACATTCCTTTTATCTGTCAACATGATTGTGTCTATAAAATAACCTATATCAGTGTACATGAGTATGAGTACGGTATGTATATTGTTTGGCAACCTGTTTGTTTGTTTTGGGTTTTACGTCACATCGACACAGTATAGGTCAGATCACGACGTTCCAGCTTTACTGGTGGAGGAAGACCTCAGGTGCCCGTCCGTGCATTATTTCAGGCACGAACGGGCACCTGAGTAGAACCACCGACGTTCCGTAACCTAGCTGGATAGCTTCCTCACGTGAAAGAATCCAAAGTCCCTGACGGGATTCGAACCCACAGCGATGAGGGGCAAGTGGTTTAAAGTCAACGACCTTAACCACTCGGCCACGGATGCCCCTGTAAATAACATTCATTTCACCTGTCAATTCGGGTCTATATGTTTATCTGTAATGTTCTATTCATCTGTTAACCTGTTATTTCATATTTATCTGTCAATCTGTGTCAACAATGTTTATTTTATCTTCCTAAAGACTTCCAATTAGTTTATAATTTCATGTTCAACCTGTGTCTACAACATTATTCATCTGCCAATATTCTTTCCATCTGCCATGACATGTGCCTATCAAAATTCATCTGTCAACATGTGTCTACAGCATTCATCTGTCAACTTGTTCACAGACTGTTAGCCTGTGTTTACAGCATTCATCTGCTAAGCATATGCTTGACAAAGTCACTTCCAGCATTCATCTGTCAACATTTGTCTATCAAATTTATCTGCTAGCAAGTGCCTACAACATTCATCAGTCACCATGTGCCTATCACATTCATCTGTTAGCCTGTGTCTACAGCATTCATCTGTTAACAATTGTGACTGACACATTGTTAGTCAGTGATTAAATGACTTTAAAGCCTTCCAATAATACAAATAAAGATCATTTAATCATATGAATATTTTATGACAATTTACTAAGAAATATACAAAATAAAAACATTGGAAATTACCTCACAGTTTTTCTTGGTTTATGTATAATACAAGCAGTTTCCTTCACAACTCCCATATTTTCCCTTTTTCTTATATCCATACAATTCACACCTGTTACAGCTCATTCAGTGAAAATATCTTTAAGAATGTCTTTTTACTTGCAATGATATGAAATTAACCATTTTTAACCATTTATCTCTATCAACAGTTTAAACAGCACAATTTTATCCTCATTTATACTCATCATTTCCTTCAGAAATGTTGCAAACACATCTTATTTCACAGCACAACAAATCCTCGAAAAAAAAAATAATAAAAAGATATAATCTCACTTTAATTCAAATGTTAAAAGGCAGAGATATTGCTACATCAAATCTTCAAATGTGAATTCTCGTGATGGCAAAAATGCCTTTAGAATCTTTAAACAAAAGTCCATATTGACTTTTCCCACCATAAAAATATTCCTCTGGATCATAAAATTTCTTTCTGATATTAAAGGTATATAGACCAATTACCATGTCAGACTAATCCTATTACTTCTGAAATAATTTCTTACTTTAATATTACAGAAATGGTTTTCAAATCTATTGATATCCACTTTTGTATTAAGTTTTCAATTTGAATTATTTTAATGCATATATGGTAATTTACCGTAGGTTCACTACCAAGTCAGTTTATAACAAGTACATTTAAGGCAATTACCATTTCAATTTTAAATTTCTAAACATATAAACTTCTGAAAATAAATTTACTGACACTTCTGTAATTTAAAGTTTGCTTTAAATTTAAACATTATTTATTCAAGCTAACTAAATTGTGGTGTCATGTGTGGAAAAAAAGGCTTGAGCCCATGATCCCTAAGATAAGAGACTGGCACCTAAACCATCAGACCACAACTAGACCATCACTCCCCGATGAATATTCAAAGTTATGATATTTCAACCGATTTATAATTTATACTATATGAAAGCCATACCAGCAGGCAACTAAGATAATTTACTTTAAGAGAAAATATTCAATGTTCATTACGTAAACATTTTGGTTTATTTACATGCAAAAATATAGAGCAACAACAGAACTATAGGCCACTGTCTCAGGTTTGAAAGTAACAAAAGTGCAAGTAAATGGGATAAAACTTGCAACAACTTGTTCGAGTGTTCATTATTCACAGGACCAGTACGCCTATTCAACTGTAGGTCTCTCTCCATGTGATGTTAACCTTTAAGAGACTAGTAAAAAAATCATTCTTGAGTTTGAACAGGTAATCCCTATCATATTCAGGCTCAAAATTTTGGAACTCCCTCCCTTTAAACATAAGAAATACTTCCAACTTACAAACATTAAAAACTAATTATCTTAAATGGTGGTTCTCTGGTGGGCATCAAATAATCTAGCTATTGTTTTTAATATCACATATATACATGTATGTCTCATAAAAAATGTACAATTTCATACTTTCAAATGTTTATATTCATTTTCTTATTGCATTTTTCAATAACTCTACTTTTCTATGTTGTATAACTTGTATACATTAAGTTTTCTTTCTTTCTTAATATAAATCTTTTGTTTGTAACTGTATATATATGTACATTTTGATAGAGGCTCATAGGGAAGACTGGGCTTGCCTAACTTTAAATAAAGTCTTTATTATTATTATATTTATTACATCCTTATAAACATAACATTACTGATCTCCTATAATATGGTGTTGAATGCTTATAAAAAGACAATTGGTACCTTCACCTTTAAAATCAATATGAAAGATATCCTGTAAACATCCCATGAGATAAATCAACCTATTCATTTGTTTATCTTCAACAAAATTAACCTTTAACAAACAGCTACAATGATCAATTAATCGACTCTGTATCCATAATAATGAGTTGTCAGACTGTATTTAACATCTACTTTGTATTGACTTATCTGCAACAAACTGTCAGTCTCAGGTCATGTATTCCTGCTTGCTATTGGTCGATTTAAAATCTTAGATTCCAAGTCAGCCAATCAAAATGCTTAATGGTCAGTTACATTTAATTCACCAATTTAAAAATTGAATCTTTGATTAAATTACACTGACAATTAAATATTAATTGATTTCTACTGTCTTATGATTTACTCTTTCGAAATTGAAACTTAACATTAATTATTTGACATTTA